TATAAATGTCTCTGAAACCCATGGACAACTCATTGGCACACCATCTGATTCCAGATGCAAACACCCACTTGTCTTCCTGCCTTGTGTTCAAAAACATATGTTCCAGTTTGAATTTTACTGCTCGACTTTCTAAATTCCTGCTGAGGCAACAGACTAATTTTCAGCTGGATTTAAATCCCTCATGAAAATCACTTGCCAGGTGTGTGAGGTTTTTACACCAAGGGAAAAAAAGGCAGCCTTAAAGTGAAGGTAGTCTATAATTATGACACTGACAAAACAGAAAATGAATACATTCAAAATGTCAAACAAGTAGAATAAAAGACTAGGTAAGTTCTGAAATGGTTAAATCTTCATGATGCCATACAAGCTGCCCTGCAAGCTGGGGCTTATATAATGTTTCAGAGCATTTGGGTTGGCCCAGATCATGAAAGATGTTAAATCTCAGTGTGATATATGACTGAAGAAGGAAGGGATATTGTATCCTCAGGTGTCCTTCCGTCAGGAGTTGTCTTCTGTTAGATTATAAATCAAAGTAAGTTGTCAGGTCCAATGAAATGTTTGTATGTGTGCAGAAAGGCCATGATAGGAAAGAAAAAAAACAACAAACGTTTCCAAAGTTTTGTAACACAGGTGCTTTGCGATGTATACATTTGCAAGAGTGTTTGTCATGAAAATTGAAAAATATCCCTGTTTGTTTGAGAAACCTTCATGGAAGTTGCTGCATGTCATTAATTCATGAGAGACTGCAGCTGAAAGCACTAAAACTTCCAAGTTTATTTTTTTTGTTTTTTGTGCTGATGTGAGATAGTTTTTACAATTGACTTATGTCAGACTCATACTGACAATTTGTACTCTGTATGCCAGTTTTCCTGTTGACCAAGCCACTCTTAAAGAAGAAAATTTAGCTCAAGGACTTCCTGGTAAAAATAATGGTTAAATACATTAATGCATATTAAACAATCTCTAAAAATGTTTGTGAAGATTGAGTTCAACCAAAGTGAGCAGCAATGTACATTAATCTTCACAAACATTTTCAAAGTGATTGGTTTAGGGTGCTGTAAGTATGAAATTCGTCTGTCACCATATATATATATTCATTAAAATATCAATTAAGAAAGCTTGCTAGCAAGCTAATGTTTAAACTAACAACCAGCTTACATTTGCCATGTTAGCATGTGTTAAGGACATATTTTCTAGCTGAATTACAAAACCTTGTTCTACTATCTTTCTTTTTTTTAAGTGATTTCTCTGCAATGAACTGGCGACCTGTCCAGGGTGTACTCCGCTTGTTGACTGTTGAAGATAGGCACCAGCACCCCTCATGATCCTACTAGAGATACACGTATAAAATAATGGGTGGGTGGATGGATGGAAAGTTATTTTGAAAGACAGTTATTAACAAAGACAGAAGAGAGTAACTACTCTCTGCTCATAGCAGAGAGTTGGAAAAGCAATTCTTAGCAGGGACTTGAACTCACTAAAATAAAATGTGAAAAGAAACGCAAAGTCTAGTGAGTCCTGAAACTTACTCCTTACATGGGAAAATGTTAAATCCACTAAGGATTTAAAAAGAGCCCTATTTCTCTTGCAAGGAAGTCTGAATCTGCACTTGGTAAATATTTGAATGTTGTTTATGACTGCTTATACACACTTGATTTTATTGATGACGTGTTTGACTAAAGGAAAGCTTCACCTGCAGAGGTCACTTTGGTAAATATCAACTGTGACACAGTTTGTAAACTTTTCTAGGGAGTAAAGAAAGTCTTGTGCTGGCAAACATTGGGCTCTTTTGAAGAACTGTATAGAACAGCTGGTGAACATTTCTTTTTCCAAATCTTATTTATACTTCATTTAATCAGGAAAGACTGTTGAGTTTTAAAATCTCTTTCACAACGCTGTCTATACCGAGCTTGGCAGGACTCCAAAGAGTTCCTAATCTCTGAAAAGACTGAGTAAATCACCAAAATACAAAATGACCATAATTGCAGAGTAGGCAATTCCATTGAAAAACACTTTCTTCTTGGTGTAAGATAGCAAGTCAAGATAGCAAGCAAGTAAAATGGTTCAAAACAAATTGAAGTCACAAGTCTTGGTGTGAAAATCCGTTAAGTTCAAAGTATTTAATGATATTGTAAAGTCGAGTTTCAAGTCACAAAATTTGTGACTCAAAATTGTCTCAATTCTAAGTCACATGACTTAAGTCCAAACATCGGGTAGGAGGTAAAGAGTTTCTCACATAAAGAAATATATAAAAATAACATATAATTTATGACTGGCTTGTGAAATGGCAATCTACAAAAGCATATCTGGTTTTGTAGGGATAGTGATAAATAGAGCAAAAAGGAAAAGCTATGTCCAAAGCCCAAAGCCTGTTTAAAGCCAAGCATTATGTATGGTTCACTTGTGTAATTGCTTTGTTAAAGCAGTATTTATCACACATAAAATGATAGAAGTATGTAAAACTTAAATAACTAAAGAATAATGTTTGATTTTAATATTGTAAATAGTCCAGGAAAAGCTTTCTTAACATTTTGTGTACAGTGAAATATAGATTCAATCTCTTATAAAATCAGTGTTTTATACTTAACTTTGAGTTCTCTGTGAATTGTTTGGATTTGCTATGCAACTATACAAGGTTAAGAAATCCTTCTGACCTAAAACTGTCAGGTCCTTTGAGTTCATAATGTTCATCTCCAAGCTTTCTGCCAAGAGAATGAAATCCGCTTTTATTTTATTGGCATTTTTCAGTTATAATATAATAGAGCCCTGCAGAAAAATAAAATCCTCCTTCAATTGGCACAAATCCATTATTAGTACATCTGTGTATTTAGGAGCCAAGAGTTGTTTTTATATATCCATATTGCAGGTCCCCAATAATTCCACCCAAGACAATCTCTTTAACACCGACTTATCACTCATCACTCATAAGATGCAGGTATTCTGCACCATTAAAACTCAAATTCCATTGATGCAATAAGTATAGTTACTACTAAGTATTCCATGGTACTTTCACAAAGTTAAATTAATTGGAAACAACATCAGATCAGTCTTATAGAGGTAGACTGTGTGAAAACAGAGTCAGATCAGTTGAATCCAAGCTTTACTTCAAAAAGTGTGACACAAATGTTTGACCCTGGGTTTGGCAGTTATCAGGGGAATGGTACTTGGCTAACCTCATTGTATCAGATGTGAAGTTTGACTCAGGAAGGATTAAGGCATGAGTTCATTTTCCTTAGTTCCAGTGTAAAGAGCTTATGTTGTTTTATTATACCAAGACCTTTTGACAATTTTATACCCACAAGTTTGTGGAAACATTTTGGGGTTGGCCCGTTTCTGCATGTCTGCCCTCCAGTGCCCAAGACAAGATCCACGAAGAAATGGATGTGAATGCTTAATGTAGAGGAACTCGGTTAACCCTCACAGACTCCTGACCTCGGTCCGACAGAGTGACTCACAAATTAGAGTGGGGAATAAGAGCCATGTTTTCTCATCCAACATCATTGTGTGATTTCCCTAATGTACTCTTGAAGACTGGTCAAATGTTCCTAGAACTACACTTATAAACAATGTGGAAAGCCTTCCCAGATAAGTTGATCCTATGCAGCTTAATGAGTTGGAATGATATCATATTAAACCCTCAGAAAGGGGAAAAAGTAGTTTATTTCCTAATTATTTATTAAAGAGACTTAATAGAGACATATTTCCTTTTGAAAAGAAGATGATTGGCAGTCTTCTTAATGGCTGTATGAGTTCTGTCTTTTCAAAATATATTTAGCAAATTTGTTTGGCAAGCAAATTTAGCATGACACAGCATAAAACTAAACAACATTTGTGGTGTATATTGTCATATAAACATTCAGCAATGTTGCCTGTGAGCTCTGTGTCACTGGAATATGATGTGGTAGTATTCACTGGAAATTTCCAAGAAAGTGTAGTTTTACTTTAGAACATAACAGTTGAAAAAACACAACTTCAAGTGGAAATGAGTTTTTGCAATTGAATAATTATGGTCTTTTAATACAAGTTATGTACTTCATTTTGTATATAAAAATGCTAAAACAATATATGTTGCTAATTTATTGACAAGCAAATTATTTTTAGACCACTGTCTATAGAAAGATAAGCATAGTTTACTTAAGAATTTGTTTAAATTAAGTTGCATAAGAAAAAACACATTGGTGAATGGTTTTATGACTTCTTCAAGTGAGATTGCATAAACTGCATGCTTAGTGCATAGAAAAATTACAATTCTGCTTTTATCCTCCATAAATAAGGCATCCAGTGTGCAAAATTGTTTTTTGGTGCCTTCCAAATGTTTCTTGTTTTTACTTTGGCAGTTCAGGTTTTTATCCATTTTAGTCAATCCAAGGAACCATAAACTGAGTTGATACATTCTACATGTGAGCCAAACAGCACAGAATCTGGGCCAGATCCAAATGTCTGCAGGTTTCAAACATTTCTATGAAAACTGGTCTGTTGCTAAGTAAGATTCTACCACTGTGCAAGCAAATAAGCATAAGTGGTTTTGTTGTTTACTTTGAAATCATTAATGCTATCATTCATGACACAATTTGAGGAATTGTTTGAATTTTATGGTTTCAACATACAAATTTTTCTTTTGATGTAACTTCTACTTGTTTGAGCTTATGGAGAGGTATGTTCCTTTCAACATAAATGTACCTCTCAATGTAATTTTTATATGCTAGACCTCATGGAAAAGCATACCACTCTCAAGAAGCATTCTTTCTTGCAGCTCGACTTCACCCTGTGTTACATCTGTTTGTAATATTTAGATAAACGGGTGGGCGAAATCTCCCATAAACCTATAAATGAACAATTGGTCCAGTGAACAGGAACACTTTTCAACTTTAGAGAACCTTACTCTTATAAATACAAATGACAGACATAATATTTAGATTTAAGCTACTTGTTAATATAAAACATTAACAAATTGAGGAACTGTGCAAGGAAATAAAAATGACTTTTTATGGCGATTGCAGTTATTTCAACAGAAGAACTTTATTGAAGGATTTTTGGAAAACAAAAAAGAGCATACCTGGATTTACCCATAGCATTACAAATGATACAATCCACTTACCAAATGTACATGAAACCTTAAACCACTTAAAGACAGAGATGCTAAAGTTACATAGCAGATGAATTAAGAGAAAATAGTTTAGACCATTTTCATAATGAGATTTTTCTCAAAGCACCACATTAAGTGCCTCATTTACCTTGGTCAAAGTTTAAAAAATTTAGAAACAATATTTTTGTCCCTATATACTGCCTTGACTTTCACTACTATAACCTTCCTCATTTCAGTTAATTTTAACTCCTAACATACAATGAATTTAAAAATTCAATCTATGTACAAATAAAGCACCTTAAAATTTTAGAGTTTATCGAAACAGTTCTTTATGTTCAGCAAGTGCTATCACAATATATTCAGGAAACAACACTCTAAATGTATCGTCTGTAAAACACCAGTTTCACCCTCCATGTATAACTTCACCAGGAAGATATCCTCATCCGATCAATTTCAGTTCCTTCCCCTCCTCCTGTTGCCACCTAACAGAATAAATGGAAAAATAAATTAATGTCCGTTGCTTTGAACTGGTCATTGTTTAAGTGGGAAATACAGTAAGTATTGCGTCACATCTCAGAAATCTTTATAGTCTGATCTCAGTTCTTTCCACATGACAGAACCAAGCTCAGCACAGCAAGAAGGTGGGAGTATGACTGCCCCCGCAGAGCCTCAAAACCTGTATGAATTATGGACCTCAGACAGACCTCACAAAAAGTTACACAAAATGCAGCTGCACAGACATAGTAAATGTCAGCTTAACATTTAGGTAAGCAATATGCAGGCAAGCATGTTGAAATAAGCAAGATGCCAAAGCTGACATTAGAAATTGTTTGACTTTTTTTGGAAATATGCTCATGTGCTTCCTTACTGATTGAAAAAAAAGACTGATATGATCCCTGCATCTGCATGGAAAATGTGATTCAGTACTTCGATGGCTTAACTTAGCTCATGAACTGGAATGTGATGGAATCAGCCAGCGTGCACATCAGAAAGCACCTACCATTAAACCCCAACTTTATTTAGTATTTATTCAATTTGTGTAAACTAACAAAAAAGAAGGTTATGCAGTAGGTCTTACTATTTAGCTTTAATTGTTTTTCCCAGTGGAGTTACAAGGCAACCTGGGGTGATACAAAAAGTTAATCTGCCTGCTCCTAAACAACTAAACACTGTTGTTTTGCTTTATTTTCTATTCTATACTTCACATTTACCATGCACAAATGATTTTTCCCAAGTAATTTTAAGAAAAAAGTAAGCACTTTAAATCAATTTCTCAAAAAGTCAAACTATTCCATAAATAACACTGATGGGACACAGTACATATATGATGCAGGGCAATACAATCATGTAACACAGATGCAGAAACAGACATGACATTACAGTCAACATTAGCTCAAAGACAATGTTGGGGATTTCATTTAGATTGGGTAAAATGTTTTTTTTCCTTATTCTTTTTATTTATTTTACCTACAACTCTTCTTGCATTAGGTCTTCCTATGAAAGAGAAGCAAGCATACACACTCCATATTAATAAATAACAAATTTTCTGAGTTAGTGAGTTATACAGGATGATAAAACTCACTTTGGATCAGTCCAGCAAGTTGCTCGGCGTCAAGGTTTGTGTTGTCTTCAAAGGTAATAATTCTTGAACGGTCAACTCCTATTGGAAAAAAAGACATTTTTATTTGAGTAATTACACCACTCAACAAGTCACAAATCTAATGTTTAACAGTCATACTCCTTTACTTTCTAACTATCATGGTGTTGTAAAAATAAAGGCTAAAAATTACAGTAAATTTCCTTGGATATCTACTTATATATCCATTTACCTTCCAGGCCAGTGTTTGTGGAACTTGAACTGGCAGAATATTGAAAGCCTGAAAGGAGAATTTATTAGCCGTCAGAAAGATGAATCATGTCAGGCTTTAGAAAGAATTACCAAATGGCAAATCTTTACCTGGCACAACCCTGGTGAATTTGCGGACAGAAGGTTCAATGACTCTGGTAACCTTAGTGGTGGACCCTTCAGTAACCCTTGTCACTTTTTTCACTTCAGGAGCTGCAAAAAAAGAGACTGTTTTAATACAAGGAACTTTAATGAAAATATACCTATGCTTGTTTTAGTGCCATGGCATTGTAATGAAACTATTACCTTAGCTAAACTTTGGCATCACAAATTCTTATTATATTGTCCCGAGCGATTACTTTCCACAACATTTTAAATATCCATACATTGTAATGTGCTTACACTGTCTTGAGTATTCACTCAATGATTCAAGACTGTTTTTTGATTATATTTATCTATTGTATGTATACTGTCAGTGATTTTATCAAACAAAAACAAACAAAAAAAATCACTGACACATGTGTCCACATTGCAATGAGCATGGTTGAAAACCGGTATTATCGACCACAAGCTTTTCTTTAACATTTGTTTCATTCTGCGTAATAACATTGATGGTAAGAGAGTTTGCCTCATCTTCCTGTGCTTCGAACTTCTGTATCAACAAGTCATATCAAAATAGAGAGTAAATTTGCTAAATTTAACCTACCACTGAAGCAAATTGCATAAGTAAAAAAAAAAAACCTAAATATTAGCAGGAAGAAGTTATTAAAGGCAGACACTTTTCATGTTAAGTCAAATTTAGAAACAAATAATACAGCTACAAGTATTAAAGGTATTTCATTCTCAGCTCATTGCTAGCTTTCATATGCTTACTTTTGTTGGAGGAGCATATTTAGGCGAACTTGAAGAAAAATTGTTTAAGCCCAAATATCTGTTGCTGTGTAAGTAAAAAAAATAAATCAAACTGCTGCATTTCAAAATTACTGATGAGAAAATCAAAAGCTCCCTTGATAACTGCCAAACCCAAATACCTTTGCCATAGAGTTTTCTGAAATACAGGACTAAGACTCTGTATTGGTAAATGCTTTGGATGATTTAGATTAGTATTATGGCTGAAAAACTTCTAGCTAACATTAAAAAAGATAAAATATATTTTAGAATTAAAGATTACTTTCCTTTCAAGTGGCATTACCAGTTTCTCCTTAAACAAAATTCAGTAAAACAAAATGGATGGCATGATAATAGAAGGGTTTTAAATCATACTTACATTGTTGGACAACACGTGTGATGATTTTCTCTAAAACAAGAAAGAAAGAAAATATTTATTAAAAAAAAGAGATTGAAAATTCTAAAATGTAAATAGTACTGTAATATATAGATATTATTACTCACTCATAAATGTAAGAGGTATTTCCTGATATCTGTATCCTGAAACAAACTGTAAAAATAAGATACAATATTTATATAATAATAATAATAGAAAAACAATCAATCCTAAGAAAATTAGGTAAGGAGGCCCAGTACATTATAAAGCTTCAAAGCACATATTTTCATCACAAAAACCCAACATACTGTCTTATTTAAACACTAAAGTTTTAATAAAAACTTAATTCACCTTGATTTGAATGTAAGTGATGAGCTTCTTGAGTAGTGAAAGGAGTTCCTGATTCCCCACAGGGATGTCTGGAGGAGAGTAGGGGCCGTTAATCATAATTAAGCTTTTGAAGAAAATAAAAAAATGAAAAACATGTGCATGTCTTGACAAATAAATTAAGGGAAGGGAATGTTATTAAAGCTGAGTAGACAAAATTGTCACCTTCAGGGTATAAGATTTGGTTGACAAAATGAATAACACCATTTGTGGCCATCTGATCGGTTTCTGGGAGAAGCAAGGAATTCACTTCCACACCATTATTCACCTGAGACAAACATTTGAAGCATACATAAATGAGAAGATTGTGGTATGATGGACAGAAAATAACATTGATCTCCACAGTAAGTCAACAGCTTGCTGTTGGCTGTGGTATCACTATTAAAAATTTGATTTTTTAAGATATGGCAATTTCCACAAAAATAAAAAATAAAAAAAACAACTGTTAAATATTCAGAACACTATTAAGATATGTTATCCTTAAAACTATGCATAAAGGTTGAATTTTCTGTTGTAAAATGGATCAGTCCTAAATACCTACAAATTTTAGTTGAAGATTGCTTCCCTGGAGAGATTTTAGAAGATTTGTCACGCCGGCCTCCAAGCCACCTCCAATGACGATACCATTACTTAAATGATACAGAAGTATTGTCTTGAGCGCATTTATGTCACCTGAAATAAACAAGGGCAAAACATTATTTGCTGAGGGATTTATATAATTTTCGACTGCCAACATATGTGCTGGAGGAAGGTATAATAAATGGTAAAGTCATTACAGCAGATGTACCTTTCAACATGTTCAACTCTCTTTCTGTCAAAGCAGCAAACGCCTTATCGCTGGGGGCAAACAAAGTAAAACCTCCCTCTTGTCTGAGCAGGTCTGTCAACCCAGCTGCTTCCATTAGAGATAAAAAGATCCTGCAGCACAAAGAAGAAAAAAGTTGGCTTGTCATAGAAACCACAGAGTGCTGATGAATTGCACTGACAGCACTATTTTTTTTTCCAAGAGTGCTTAGTGAATTAAACGGAAAATAAAATGTGGTAGAGTAAAATGCTTAATTTTAACACCAAAATCCACTTTGACCAAAATTGCCCAGGACTTACTTGAAATTTCCGTTTTTAGTCAGAATCTCGAACATAGATTTCTCTGCAGGCATCAACATAGTCCTCATCAGATGAATGGCTCCGTTGCTGCCTTCTTTGCTGCCTCTTATCAGGCAAGAATTCTCAATGCACACAGCCTGCAGAGAAAATCCGCAGGATAAAACCAAAGGATTGATGGGGTTTCTCTAAAATACTGTGATTAATGGAAATATGACATAAAGCTGAGTAGACAAAATAAGGGATGATCTGTTTGTCTCGTGGTCTGAAGCTCTCATTTTTGGGGAGGACTTTGATGAAGATGACGCACCGTGCGGTAAATGAAGACCCTGAGGGTCTTTCCTCCAATAGTCTCCAGCTGCTGGCCATTATACAGTTGTCCAAGACCAAACTTATTCTTTAGGATGTGGTTCTCCAGGATGATTTTAAGCTCACTTTGATCCATGGACATGATTTCTTCTGCAATTGAAAGACATTTATCCTTGTGTAAATAAACACAATTCACAATTGCAAGTAATACTTTGCTACTTTTGTTAATCATCACCGCAGCTTTCCCTAACATCACAGTAACGTACACATTTATGTATGCTTTGAATTAACTTGATTTCCTTAAAATCTAATAATTAGTCTGTTTGCTTTAATTTCAAAGAGGCTTTGTATACTTCTGGTGAAGACTCAATTCACTGAGAAATTGTTTTTTGATAGAAACCTCATTTTGCCGGCAATGACATATGGATATCTTAGGACTTTAAAATCTTTAAAAATAGTCATTGTAAAGCACTCCACTGTTTGCTGTTCTATGTTGTGCTTCTGAACTACACATTCTCTCGCTTCAAGAACATTTCTATAAACATGTCTCCATATACAATTAAAAATATATAACAAACTTGGAGGAAGAGTGTGAGAAAGAAAACACTGCAGCTAAAGAAGACGTCACTTTAAACCTTCAAGAACTGCAGAAGAGAGATGCCTTACATGGTATAACAAGCTGTTTGTGACTCACCGGTAAAGGCAGCATTGAAAGGAGCCAGCAAAGTATACTCAGCGTCTGCTCTCATTTCAGTGGAAAGGCCCAGCTCAGCGACCAAGTCACCAAAGGTTGACTGGGAACCTCCCAACAGTTCCATTACCTGCTTGGCTTAAAAGCAAAAAATAAATAAATGAATACAAAAATAAACACATTTAAAACATATATGAAAAATAGATGAAGTAGGAATGAATAAAGTGTGCTAAAAGTAAACAGATTAGGGGAAATGTTGATCTAACCTGAGTCTGGAATCAGCACTTGGTCAATAAGGTGGATGACACCGTTGGTAGTGACAATGTCCTTCTTGAGTACCATCTTAATGCCGTTAACTGTTAAACTGTCTCCATCGCAACCTATTTCAATGTTGTTTCCTTCTAGGGTTTCATAAGAGGTTCCTGCCATGATGGCCTCAGAGCACTGGACTGAATCCAGGAGGTGGAAATTCAAGAGAGCTGAAAAAAAGTTGGGAATTGTTATTTCTTTAAGCAGTAAAACATTTATAGAATGGATGGAGATTCATGTTAAGCTAAGCAGATAATACCTTAAAAACCTGTCGACCCTTTTGGACCCTTTGATTGGATATCTGTATAGTTATAATTAGCTCAAAATCAATTTGATGTCATTGGCAAAGCTGATGGGCAAGAGAGTTGTTGAGATATTTTGCCAAATAGTTCAGTATGCTCATTAGGACATCTGCTTCTCAGAGCCTTTACAAATCTTATGCCAAAAATGTTGAACAGCTCACTATATAAAGCACATGTGTCAAACTCATGATCCGAAAGCCAAATCCGGCCTGCCATATTTTTGTATGTGGCCCAATAGAAGGACATATAAGCCTTCAAGATAACGGCTCTCTGATTAAATAGTATTTCATCAGTCGAATCAAAGCAGTTGTTATCTGTATACTTCCAAATTACATCAGTCTGGTGTCCAGTACTATTTAGTTTTAAGAAGTAGTAATAAGAAGCATCAAAACTTTAATTAATGACATCCATGCTAATAATGAGTTTTTGTAAACCTCAGAGAACTGTATGCATATCACATAACTAAAGTGGTTTTTTTTATTTCAAGATTCAAGATTTAAAATTCCTTTTTTGAAAACTATCCTAACCATTAAATTATGCAGTTTAACTTGTTTCAATTGACAATTGTTGGATTTACCTCTCAGGACATCTTTGTCACTTAGAAGTCTTTCCATGGTATCGCCACCAATCTTGTCAAAGGCATCGTTGGTAGGAGCGAAGAGAGTGTAGAATCCTGGCTGACCCAGTTTTTCCAGCAGTCCAGCAGTCTGAGCTACATCCTAACAAGTGGTTTCAGCAGCAGCACTATGATTTAAAATCTTCAACATAAAAAAAATTTGAAAACATGTGTAGTGTGTGCACTTACAGCTAGCGTTGTTAAATCTTCCTCAACTTCAATATAATCCTGGATAGTGCTTCCAACGCTAGTGATGACACGATCAATGACATGAACAACTCCATTGGTTGCAACCTGGTTCCCATAGATAATCCTAGCACAGTTTACAGTAACCACCTGTGGACAATATCAATTTTCTCAGTAAACCTCAGACAATCTGTTCCAATGCAAGACTATGTTATAATACTACGACATGTACTGCATAGCAATACTCACCCCATTGGAATAATGGTTAATATAGAGACCAAGGTCATTGTACATAGAGGTCAATTTCAATCCGTTCTTTAGATCTTTGGTTAGGAGGCGTTTGTTCACCATGTGGTAGTGCAGAGCATTGAAGAGTTCAATGTTGACGTTGCTGACCAGTGCATTCCTTACTGACTGTAAGATGAGAAAAACAAAGTGGTCAAAATGCAACACAAAGAACAAGTTAAAGAACTTTTGGCTTTGCCTTGACTCACCTCATCCAACAACCCCCAGGCCTCATTGCTTGGAGCAAAGAAAGTGAAGGATCCTGGACCCTCAATCTCAGGTCTCAGCTTAGAAATGTCAGCATAATTTTGGGTTGAAGTAGCCTGAACAATAGCCAGACTCCCATACACGTGGTCAATTGGAGCAACTAAAAAACAAATATGCTTTTTTGAAAGGACAATTAAAAGTTGCAAAATTACTTTCAATTAATTGAGTGTGATTTTAAAATTAATTCACATCTATTCTCCAAATGAATCAAGGACCTCCATCTAACTTTTATCCACCCAGTTAGTCCTATACCTGCAGGACAGCCTTGCATGCCTTCAAGCTTGATATATCCTGGACAGCATTCATACAGCACAGTCCTGCAAAGAACACAGACAAGCATTCAAGTCTAAACCATGTGTATTTCACATTCTTCAAAACAATGCTTTCAATTACTTTCTTTTACTGAGTTATATAACAATTTTGACATTTGTAATGAGTTGTCTGTTTTGGATTAGGTTGTCTTTCTTTAAGAGGATTCTTCTGTGTTTGCAGATGTAACTCATTATCTCCTGAATAATCTCAACACACAGTGCGATCCAGACGTCTGAGCCAAAACCTCAGAGAAAGGGTGCCTTGAGGACACTGCTACCATTTCAGTAGTCAAATATCATTATTATTATTTAATTTTTTTGCCAAGCCTTTTTCTTTGAAGATAACCATTTATTTTGAACTTTTCTTGACATCCGACTAACCTTAGACATGTTGGCACTCTTGCCAATAAAAAGTACTTGTAAGCATAAAAAGGATTCTTTATAAGCTGTGAAAATTATATAATGTTTTTAAAAAACTATCTCAATAGTCTCAAATAAGACTTATGAAATCTCAATACACAAGAACACAAATAATTCACATTAGCTCCTACTCTGCCAAAGAAACAACGGATAATTTGTTTATTCCTCTCATTTTGCCTGACAGTGCAATCCGAAGAGAACTGTAAAACTTAATGTGCAGCTGTGAGACAAATACGTGATTTACACCAACGCCATCAGTCATGTCGAAACTCCAACTCTGACTCCACCTACAGTAAAGCTATTATGCGATGATGTACATTTTATCCCAAATAACTCCCAGGTATTCAACAATAAAAGGACCCTGAAGAAATGAGCTCTCCGGATGCAGCTATTAAAGATAAGCAATACCACATGCTTCTGGTCAGTTTTTCATTAGAAGAGATTTCTCAGGTTTATTGAGAGAGAAGATGATCTTTGCCCAACTTCAGCTTGACATAATTAAAGTTATAACAAATACTAAGAACAATGTTAGGCTTCCATGTTTTAAAATAAACCACTTGCTACTGGATCAACAAAAATATTCATGATTCAGCAATGATTCAACAGAATTTAATTGGAGATATAAATTGTTCAAAATTAGCAGTTTTCTTTCAGGAAGTTGTTTAAAATGTGCATACTATTAAAGCACCACATGTGTTTTCCAGTTGTAGTGGACTCCTCTAACTAGTATTAAATAACAGTGCTACACTCACGGTATGCGATGTTTAAAAAAAATGAACGAATACACATAAAAATAACATGTAATAAATGTCTGAAATGTTGCCCGCTAATATAATTTTATTAAATACATAACGATCAAATAGCTCAGAGTTTATAGGCATGGAGATTATTGAGGCACACTGCTTAATCCACTGCAAATATTTTAAACCATGCAAAAAACCACTGCTTCTAGATCATGGGCAACTGCATGTATATAACATCTGTATTTAAATCAAGGTTGAATGGAGTTGCAGGGACGGGGATGAGCTCATACAAGCCCCGACGGGGCACAGTCAGCAAAACTTTGTTATACTGCTTTCCCACACAAAGGGACTGTGTCTGGCACCGGGCCTGGAAACTTTTGACCATCAGCATCTTTAGAAAAATACTGCACCACTTCAAATCATGATAACTTTATTGTAAAGTTTCCCCTCTTTAATGTATGGGTTAGTATTGTAATGTAATACATCACAGTCTGTCAGAGAGCTTGGTAGTAAAGTTTTCTTGGAATCAGACTCACTTTGAAAGCACAAATGTTCCCTTTGGGAAAAGAACAAATATTTTTGCTGGCTGCAAGAGATTAAACCCAGCTGGAACAATATGAAAAGAACAATTTAAACCTTACTGTCTGGACTTCTGTTGCCCAGGCAGCAGGAGTCCTGATGCACAGTTGGTGTAAACATTTATTTAAGGTCATCAAAAAGCTACATGTACTTTTGTTAAAATGTTAGGCTTTGACAAATTTTCTCACACGTTCTATTCTAATTCTATTCAATTTCATTCCACTTTCAACAAACTTTGTGGTTCTCTATTTAAATATTAGAGGCCAGGATATGACTAAATCAATATTTTTAGAATAAGTAATGGTTTAAATTCAGATTTAAGTATGTTGGAAAAAAAAAAACAGAAATAAATTTGCTTCATTGTTTCTACTTTCTCACATTAGTCAGTGTACGTTTTCTTCCAAAAGTTTCCAATTAAGTTAATATACTCTAGTAAATGTGATGTATGTGGGGGTTTATATGGCTGAGTTTTCCTTTTCTTTGCAAGGTAGGCTTTGTTAGACGATTGGATCTGTGGGGGTTGCCAGAAGGAGGGGCTCACCCAGGATGCCATTCATGTTAGGACCGCCTCTTTGAAGAACAGCTACCAACTTTAAATGATATGTTTGGTAACGAGGGAAAAAAAACACTTCAAGACCCACCAAAACATGGCATGGCTTAGATTTATGTTTAAGTTGCAATGTGCTGAGCCAGCAAGACTGTTAACAAAAAAAAAGGGGTTTTAATGGCGGAGCTTGATGGGTTTCCATTCATGAATGCAGTCTCTATTCTGCAGCCACATCATATCCTGGAATCAGTGGTTCACCGCTGTGGCACCCAGCGACCACCGGGATTGTAACATTATGAAACCCCCACTGAAGTTTATGGGATCAAATAGGATTGTCTTTGAGACGAAAGGTTTTAGGACTGCTTCTATAAATGTTTTTCATCCTACAAACCAGTGCAACTCAAAGTAGCATAACAGATGTTATGATCTGTCACTGTGAAGACATCCAAGTTTCCATGAAAACTACTGAAGATGAAACAGGAGAAGATGGGAGAGCAAGAAGAAATGGCAAACATGTTTTCAGAAACAAACAGAGCAGGTAACTTTATTTCCTAAACTTGAATGCCATTTCTTTTAACAGGATAGTCAACTTACGCTTTCTTTCCGCAGATGGACCCACGGTACCAATTGCGACAAGTACTAAAGTATTTCTTCGTTGTCCCCATAACTTGCTGAAGTGCACAGACATTGGGTCTGGTGAAATTTGTTGGAGAAAATGTAACAAGGATTAATAAGAGTAAAAATTCCTTTTAAAACCAAATTATTCTCTTTTGTGCTGAGCCAGAATATGGAGAAAAAAAGAGACTGCTCTATATCAAACTTTCAAGTATGAATACATAAATTATCATAGTTAAAACAAACATCATTGTCTTTTCAACTATAAACATTGATGCAAGAACAATTATGAGCTTACATTTTTAAAATAAAATGACATTCTTTTACAGTATATAAAACTAAATTGTAAGAAAGTATGTTTTCTTTAGAAACAAACATAAATGCACAAAGATGACTGCCCTCAAAAACTGAATATTCATGCATGTGCAGAGAAAAATTGAGGCATCTGAGGTTATCATTGCAAACAAGCAAAATTGAAACAAAAAAAATCTTTGTTGTTTAACTTACCCTTCTTTTCTTGCCCTAATGCGGCTGTGGGTGACTATTTTGTCATAAGCTGAGGAGTCAGCATGATCAAAGGTAGAGAGCACAAAGAGTGCGAAGGCAGCCACAAAGAGGAGCTTCATTCTTGATTCCTGAACTCTCCTCCAGCCCAGAGTGAAAGGAACACAGTCCTAGCTGGAGTTTATATAACCCAAGTCTCACCCTCCACTCCAGGAGGATGGTTGGATTTCTGACATGCATGAGCAACACAAACCTCTCCAAATGCTACAGTTCTCCTGTTTGGCACTAAACGCTTTTCATTGTGGTCTACAAATTATTTGTAACATTGTTTGTAAAGGAATGGTGGTATTTGTGGAGCAAAATTATCTAAAAATCCAAAGTGCAGATGTTTTTGTTTCCATTTAGAACCAACATTTGTAAACTTTTCAAAATCCAAATCAATGCTTTGAAGATATAAAGCCAGTGAAAGCACACAAACCAAATACTTTGGAGTAGTTATTTTACTTGGAATTAAGAATTTGCATTTACTTAGTCTATAAAAATGTAATTTGTGATGGAAGCAAAAAGCAAGGGGAACAAAATCCAAACACTTTACATAGTGTTTGGAGAAACACCTCTAAGCTGAAATGTATACTTACTTCAGAATGCAGTTTGTTCCCCCTAGTGGCAGAACAGAGTTCGGACACATTTGTTTTGCACAGAATTCTAGTATTTTTTCCTCCTGCCAGAATATTCAAAAAGAATATTAATTACAGATTTCTTTAATTACTTTGATCAAATTCAGAAGTGTGGTGCTATGCTGAGAGTCACTGCCAAAACGCTGTTTTTTTTTATTTTATTTTAGCAAATAAAAACATTTTTAATGATCCTAGCTGACCATTTTAGATCAATTCCAGATCATTATGCTCATCAGAATTTCCACTCTAAAAGACACAGAGTCTTGAAAGTAAAGCCAAAAGTAGCTGTCATATTTACAAAGCAGGGTGAAAACATTGGGCTTTTTTTGTGTGAACAAATTATGTCTTAAGTTCATCTGTTTTGATACATCAAAACTTAGGAAATAACCGTCGGTGAAACTTTTAGCTTAAGCAAATATTTATGTCAGTGAAAATTTAAAAGTCATCAACAGGAAAAGTTCTGACATGTTTCTGAACAAAATAGTTAAAAGGCTTTGTTGTTTTTTCAACATGGTGTGGTGCAATGCTCAATTTAAGTGATTAGGAATCACTTAAATGCCACAACTTGGAGAGCATTGCTGCTGACCATGACCATACCTTTATGACCACAGTGCAGCTATCTGTGGCTACATCCCACAAAATTTTAGAACATGTCACACAGCTCAGAACACAAGAATCTGATTTCTTAGTCATAAAACTTCATTCACTTTACTCCTGCTGTTTCTGGAACTCACCAAAAAAATCAGAAGTTGTGGAAAGCTGAAGCGCTTCCACTTAGTATTAACAAGGCATGCGAAATAAACAGAGTGTACACTCATTTAATTGTTATTTCCCACACCTAGAGATAACTTAAATACAATCCAATGCTTTTTTCCGATTGCTAAGAAACCACAGAATTCAGCTTTAAAAAAATCAAATCTAAAGCCAAAAAAACAAATAAAAAAAACAATTTGTTTTAATTATTTTAATCTTCAAATCAGGCAATGTCAAAGGTAGTACCCCACGGAAGAACATATCCTAATGGGGAACAAACAAGATGGGAAACAAATTTAACATTAACTTTGATGATGTGTGAAGCTGGGTTGAGAAATTGATGTCTGGTAGCGCCTGGTTGCACATAATCAACAGCATATATTGAACTTTATGAGGCATTAAAGTAGCAGATGGCAACTTGCAATCCAGTAAGTCAAAACTATGTCAGATAACAATGTAGCATACAAAAATGGTTTACATAGCGTTCTAATTTCAAACATCCCACTCAAATGTTGCTGTTGTACCAAAGACATGAACCTAGTTTCAGCACTGCTTAAAAGACAATAAGGTGCTCTTCAATCAGCACCTTGTTGTCTTTTACAATGTTGGTAAGACCAGTGATTTTGATTAGTTTTATGGGGACTGCTTTTGGCATTCTCAACCGTGTTTCTAAAAAAATAAAATAAAATAAAAATTCACACACACTCGCGTGTGCCTTTTGTATGATGAATTTGTATGATGTTAAAATGTAAAAGTGGCATTGTTTCATTATTAGCCATTGTAAACAGTCATTATTAAGACATATCTTCATGTCGAGCACAGAGGATGCTTCATGCCTGGTGACCTTCATATAACACAAAAGCTCCTAATTAAGACAGGTCAAATTATACACCAGAATAAGTTTTAAATCCTGACTTCTTCTTCATTTAGGCCATAATAGTTGGATACCATGAATATACTAATATGAGTTGTGAATAATGATAACACATCAACTCTCAGTAAGCACCAGCTTGAATAAGTTAAGTGACAAACATTCAGCTATGTTAAAATTTAAAATATGTACAACTGTTTTACAACAAACTGTCCTCTGATGTTTTTAACACCCCACATTTTCAAATAAAGGCAACTTAGAAGACCATAACATTTTGCATTATTTTATTAGTATTTATAACATTTCATAAATAGTAAAAGTTGTCAAAGCTCATTAGCCCACAATATATAAAACACAGATTTTTAGAAAGCAGATCCTGAAACCAGTCTCAAAATTTGCACACTTCTCTTCTCTTCTTCAAAATCACTCTTAAGATTGTCCCATTTCACAGCTTCACCATCTTTGGGGCGATAAATGTGAAGCCTCTAGTTTCAAGGCTCTGTGATAGTCAGGTAATGACTAAATTAAACAATACATTAGATTAAACAGTAAGATGGGGGAATATATAATTAGTCTTAATTTTCTAAATTAAATTAGATTCATATTTTCTTGCACAATTACATGAAATCAAAAATATAAATTTTCAAGTGTATGACTATGTGTAGGTAGGGACAGTCTTTTTTTGTAACAGCCAAACAGATGTTCAAAGTAAGAGCTAAATAACATACCTGCTGAAAACTCGCTTTCCTGAGCAGCAAGTGAACAGTCACATCATTCGTAAAGAAGATATCTTACTGGGTCTTTTACAACTGATTGAACGTATTAATGTATAAGCACAGTATGGTAGTATAGCTATTGTCTATCTCAAGCTATTTTTTAAAATAAGATTAAGTAAACAATGATTTTATTGTGTGGTCCTTATTTACGTTCTTCCAGACTCAGTTTTGCATTTTTTTTTTTGGACCATTTGTCACTTCCTTAGTCAGGACAGTACAAGAAAGCCCTATTTCCTGAGTTTCTGTGTTCATATTCTGTGAAATTTCCGCATCTGCTTTACCACTCAGAGCTTTATTTTGGTTTTGCCCACCAGATGCCACAAAGTAGGGATTTTTTTCATTACGTTTCAAAAAGGACGTTTGCTCCCGTTTTGGAGAGCACTCGCCCTTTGACTGCTCTTTTGATATTTCAATCTCAGTCTTTTCTGCACTCCACACAATAACAGAACAATTGTGTTGATCATTCGAGCCCGGAGAGTTGGCTATGGTGGCAGCTTTACTTTGAGGCATAGTGGGAGACTTTACCTCCAATGTCTGTGACTCTTTTTGACGTTCACTGGCAGCAGGTTTACGACAATATTTGAAGGAATTTCCAGGATAAGCCAACGTTGTGCTTGCAACTGGACTTGTTCCGCCGCTGTGAGGTTTACTCTTCATCATTCCCAAAACTTCATAGCGGAAGCTGGAGATATCTTGCTTAAGCTCCTATTGATTAAAGTAAAAATAAATAGACAAAGAGCAGTAAAAGTTATACCGCAGTTCAAGACCATAGTAATTCATGGTGTTATTTTTTCTGTGAAAAAATGAGTCAAACAGTTTGCCAGTATTTAAGGATGAAGATAGCAAATAATGTAAATGCAGTTTATAGTGGAGTCCTCCCTGAAAATCAGAATGACATGGTTCATACTAGACACTGCTCAGAATTACAATGTACTTTGAATTTTCTTTGAGATGGAAACTTAGAAAAATAAAGACAATTACTGAACCATTTGAGATCAAATGGTTCAGTATAAACTTGATATAAATGTTCTCTTCATGTAGTTACATGTACAGCAATACAAACAGCTTTAAACACTTTCAGAAAATTAAAGTTTATATTACAATCATACATACCTTAAAGTTTTCCTCTGTCAACCCTTCCTCGGTTTTGGCATCTCTGATCATTGCAGCAACATATCGCTTCACAAGGTTCTTCAGTACCCGCTAAAATGTAAACTAGATTTTAGATAAATTCATACTCTTATTCATCTAAGTGAGATCAAAACTAAAATGAAATACTATGGCACTTGTTTGAGAACAAACCTGATATTCATGGTTTAATTTGACATTTTCTGCTGCCCGCGCCTGTGATTAAAGGATAAGCAAAAGCAGCATATTATCCCTGTCTACTACTGATACATGTTCTTTACATGCTCTTTCAAAAAAAGAAGTTCTTATGATTCACGTTTAAATAGGTATTAGCTTATTAAATTTATGCCAAGCTCTTTTGGAGCAAAGATTTGAGGCACTGAAAACTCATCAGAGTAAACATCTTGCAATTCCTTACCCCTAATATCTCAAATGATTTCACTGATGCTTTGCCTGGTTTCTTGAACATATTTGTTTTTATCCACTTAAGTAGATAAAACACAGATTTTGGACTCGGTATTATATTGAACGGAGATGGTAAAGTCCCGCCCTCTTCAAAATAGCTCATCCATAATTTTGTCCGTGCAAATTTCCATTCTATGTCTGCATGATCCTGGAAAAAACAAGAAAATAATTACAACTTCAAATGATAAGCTAATGTTGAGCCTATTTAAAAAACAGATGGTTTATCTATAGGACTTACAGCAATGTGCTGGTAGGAATTGTTCATCATTGCAATCAGCATGTTCAGAAGCACCACCAAGGAGATTATATTATAGGTGCCGAACATAGTTGAGCCAACAAATTTCGTAATTGTATGGTTCGCTTTCACATTGGTCACGTAGAGAGAAATCAAGCCAAACACAGACCAGAATAATGATTGGAGTGTTTCAAACAACCTGAGAAGTGAACAAACAGTGATGTGTTTAAAAAATACTCTAACAGGTATGTTGAAAAATAT